GTACCGTCAGTGGCTGATTAAGACTTCCGACAGCCCTAGGCTAACGATGAATCGCCCCCCTTACCGGCGCCCTCCCCCGTAGCAGCCTATTCTGTAAGATATTTACTAGATATTTTACTAGCTTTTCAGCCCGCGGTATTACCCACATTAAATCAAATTTTGCTAATAGTAAGTGTCGACCATTACCCATGAACAATTACAACACCAGGGAAATTGCAAGCGTGTTGCCGGTCTTGTTTAAATGTAAGCTCGTTTCTTGAAAGTCTCTAGTCGTATCGGTCGGGAACTTCGCCGGATGTACATGATTCCACAACGAACCTCGTTAGGAATATATTTCCTAGTAAATCGCAGTTATGGTGGACCGTTACGCATCCAGATGGTGTGGATAGTACCGTGAGTTTTGTCCCGATGTGCGTTGGTGAAATTTAGCGGCTCGAATTAATCTGAACAATTTTTCGAAGTATTTCCCGTGGAAAATGCGATAGAAAATGCAATGGGATACAAAATGGGGGAGCCGTTTCTACACAGGGAAACAATGACGGGGTTAGAGCTTTTTTTTATAAGATAGGGTGACTAACTAGCACACAGTCCACCTGATGGAAAGTGGTTGCTGCGACCCATAGATATCTACATCTACCCTTGATTACAAATCAAAATGCAGATACGTTGTTACCCGTGAGGACTAAGATGGAATGCCTCGTCTCCAGTAAAAAGTGTCTCCGGTTCTCTACACTCACCATGCGAAACACAGCAGTATTATGCAACTATTTCACGCTGGTATTCAAAATGCTACTAATTATAACTCCAACGGCCCGCGAAGCATGTATGTGGGGGGGGGGTGCGTGCTCTCTCAGTAGAATGCCTTGGTTAAATTCAGTTCGGTGCCCGGCTGTAAAGGCTGCCTCATGTGAAGTCTACAAAGTTTACTCTTACCAGAACTCTTACCATTGTTGAAATAGCTAGAATAGTTTAGCTATTTCTATAGCATAATATCGTATGTTATTTTGCTATGGAGACACGCGGCTGATACTGAAATTATATTTGTTTTACAGAAGAAGGCCATTAGAGCAATATATGATTTAAACCCATAAGAGCCGCTCAGACAAAAATTTAAGGAAATTAACATATTAACTCTGGCCTCTCAATTCATTTATGAATATGTAATGTACGTACACAAAAATAAAAGTAGTTTTGCATAAATTAGTGATATTCATACTGTCAATACTAGGAACAGACACAAGCTAGTAGTACCAGTTACTCGACTCCACCGAGTCGGTAATTAATTCTTGGGGCGATGTATACGCTTTTACAACAAAATCCCAGAATATATACAAACTTTGACGCACACAAAGCTCAAAAGCTTTATTAAACTAACTAAGAAGGATGGTAATCACCCCTGGGAAGGGTGATCGCTACCAAGCTATATCTAATTTGTTTTGTGTTGTTAATTATAACATGCATGATTGTTAGCTCTTATTTCTTCTTAAAAAATAGTCCCGCTGGGTTTCTTGCTGGTTCTTCCCAGGACAGAGTTTTTTTTTTGCGAACCAGTGGTACGTAAATGAAAAAAGTGACTTTCAATAAGTATTATTTATAATCTATATTGAATAAAAAAGTTTTTGTTTTTGTTTTGTTTCTGTTGTCTCAACTGAGTATCACATCTCTTCGCAGTGCCAGTGAATCGAGCTGATCAGAAAGAACTCGGTCGTCGAGAAAGACGCGTTAGAACCTGTACTACCTCCGAAGCACCCGTCTTCAACACAATAGTAGAGACTCCATCAGGCCCCTCGAATTGTTGATATCCAGGGAAAGGAATTCTTTGCACACTGAGCGCTGTGTAAACCGCACATCCCGCATGGCGCAATCAAACCGTGAGATGGTCGGCGGTGTATACCCCATCAAGAGTCGAGTTGGATATAAAGAGAGCGTAAAAGATAGACTTACTCCTTTGTGGTATGGGCCAGTGAGGTGTTCTTCCTGTGCAGAGATGGAGCAGATGGCTAACGGAAGTTGCCTTGACAATCTTGGCAAAACACCTTTATAAAATTAGAAGTAGAGAAGAGAGCTTGAGCAGTTTAAAACCTTTGAATAACGCCTAGTCAGTCAATGAAAGACGAAAGGTATCACATAATTTCAAAGCTTTATTTTTACAATCTATTTATTTGTTTTGTACCAAAGATAAAAAAGAGAAACAAGTAAAATTCTTGCGGCGCTTACTCTTTTATTTATTGAGAATATTAAACCAAATTATATTCCGTACATGAGCGGTTCTTGCAAAGGCAAGCTTATCACCCCCTTGAACCTTGCGCCATAGGCTCCAGCCTAGTTAACTTGTGGGTAAATCAGGCCCTGGGTACCGTCACTACGTTCTAATGCGCCATTCTGTTGGGAGTGGTATGGTCTCGAGAAAATATTTTTATTTCACGAATATAGCCAGTTGCTTTAATAACTCTGCAATAAAACTGAACCTTAATCAGTTAGAATCATTTTAGGAGACTCAAATAATGAAAAGAATGAGATTACGTGCAACTTCATCAGGTTTTGAAGTGATCATTGGATAGGTGCAATATTTAAATTTTTGTAAAACTTCTTTCAGGTAGAACGCCGACAATTTCTAACGCTGATCTTTCAAACGGCTTCTGCTTGAGGACGTTACGACCAAGGAAGACTTGTTATAAGTGTGCAACGTCTTATTAAACTGACATAGCTTACAATATTTTACGAAGCGATCTATCTCACCACGCATGTTTTCCAATAATACAAAGATCTAATTCTATTATACATGCGTTTTATAGCCGGGTGATCAGCTACAGTAGCTCCCTGATTTTCCTTTAAAATGTTTAGAATGTCGGCTGGAGAAGGGACAAAAGGGATTTTTGATTGTTGTATATTATGTGAATCTTAATATTTGTACCATGAAAAATATACGATATAAAGTTGTTAATCTTTACGTACTAACTCTGTGAATGGTTCGGAAAAACCAGATAATGCCCCTATAAACTTACGCAATAAATTACAAATTGTCTTATAACTTGTTACAGAATAATGATGAACTTTAGTGTAAAGAAAGTTAAATGATTACGCTCTCAGGTTCGTGTTAGCACGTGACAATAGCTGACCGTAGTTTAGCATAGAGTAATCAAAGTCTGGAGAGATCTAACACGCAATTATTTTTTTGTTTTGCGGAACATGAACTGTGATGTGCTCTTCAATTTGTTTATCATCAGAAATTGATTTTGTAAATTGTTTCTCAAAAATCTTCATATGTAGTCATATTTAATTTAGAATAGGTAACAATGTTTACTGGATTACGAGACAAAGAATCCGCATTTGAATCAATTTTACCTGGCTTGTAAACGATTTCATAATCGTATTTCTCTAATTTTCAGATCCTTCTGATTTTTGGCATTGAAAGGCCATGTAAGAGATAATCTGTCACATTCTTAAATTTATACCAGCAAAGATATAGTGGAAAAGTATCAAAACCGAAAGTATCTTTAATAATTCCTTTTCTGTAGCTGAATACTTTCCTTCTTGATTATTTATGGTGCGAGATGTATAGGCGATAGCATTATCCTTTCCAATCTCGCCCTGAGACCAACCTGCTCCATCCAGCAGCCTGATTGGAAGTGTCTGTAGTCTAAAATCTGAATTTAAATGAGATATCAAAATTTTATGCAGGAAAAAATGTAAGTGTAAAACTATACACTATAAGTTTAATTTTTAATCAAAAACTAAAGTAGTGTAAAAACCTTTTAAAGGCGACTATTAATTAAGACTTAAATTTCAGTAAAAGTTGTTGCTTTTGACATTCATAACTCATCCGCATCGGTTGGGCTTACTCAGAATGAGGTTGTCAATGTCTTGTTGAGAAATATTGTGCCATATTAATATACAGTATGTAGTCCTATTGAGATGCATAAAAAGCTGTTTCAAATTGACTACTTATATTGGGAATTTTTCGAATTGTCTGAATATTATGAAAATACTCTATTAAATATTTAGTCCAGAACATATTATACATTATCTACCGACAAACAACAAAACTATATTCTAACCCCCAAATTATCATTAAGAGTACGTACTAAGCCATCAAAATTTACGGTTTCACCCCGGAAATCTCGGTACTGTAGCACGCTATGCTATACAACCATAACTTTCTCGGGGTCAATTGTGGTCAGCATAGCTTAAGCGCAAACGTAAAGCATTCTATTTCTTTCCTTTTTTTTCAAATCACCTTTGCAATCTTTATGGTACGGAAAACATCTTAAGTAAAAATTAGTAGACTGTATTTGCGAACTTATGTTGGATTAAAATATTAAATTGGCAACCGGCATAATATAATGGAGAATGGAGCACGCACTAACACAGCGACGTCCATTGATGAGTCTCGTAATTCTCAGGTTTGATTCGAGCAATGCACTCCGAGTGTATAGCACAGTTACACAAAATAGAATGAGTTTTTTTTTCTTTTTTTTCTGAAGTTAATAAATTGGTTTATTGATTTGATCACGATTTCTACGACGATACTACACGACTTAAAGGTGAGTTTTATATCATACTTATTACTATCTATTATCCATGGCGATACGTTCAGTATTAGTTCACCTAAGTATGCCAAAGGTATATAGCGCAACAGCCTATATGCGTGTGACTTATTTACACCGGACAAAAGGCTGTTAAGCACTTTGGTCAAACGGGCATGAAACGCATCGTAAACTGACTGTTTCATATCAGCTTCATCGATACCGATGTTCAGTGACATACCTTGGTATGTTTTCGACTCGGAAAGGGTACTTAAGTCGATGTGCATAGATAAGTCTACATTCTCTAAGTTAGCGAACTCACACACGTATCCGTCCCCCACATTTAAATACGTCTGTAATAATTTTCACTATAATATCGTGGAGCGCTGAGAACTTTTTATACCAAAAGTTTTGAACATTATCGGGTCCAGTATCTTTCCAGTATTTCATATTTTGGGTTACATATTCAATCCCTTATTTGGTAACTTCTGTGAAATCCATCAGTTCAATAGCTTCTGCTTTATTTTCTTCTTCTTTGATCGAACTTGTCTGTTCATTGTGTTCATTATCTTTCTTCCATATTTCAGTCCAGTAGTTTTTAAGTTCTTCTTCAATTGGTACTTCCTCGGGTTCATAGGATACATTACTTACATTATTGTTTGAGCGACCCATAAAATCCTTTCTCATTAGTCTGAAAAGCCTACTGTCTTCTTTTCTTTGTAGGGTTTTTTTGTATCTGGTTATTCTTTGGGATTTAAGTGCAAGTTTTTTTTTTGGAGCATCTGATCATTCAGCTGGTCTAATATTATTTTTATCATAAGTTGAATGAACTTTATATTTATCAAATATTAAATCAATTTTCTTAATTAGTCTAGGATGTCTATTATTGTTAATGAATTGTGTTAATCTAGCCACATCAGCGCGTAGGATAGATATATCTATTTTTAATCCGATTTGCCAAGCCGGTTTATTGTTAAGTAATTGTAAGTCAAAATGAAGATGCGTTGTCAGCCTTGAGGACTAAGTTGGAATGCCTCTTTTCCAGTAAAAATGGTCTTTGTAGTCTTTTATAGTAAAAATTTAGGTAATATATGACCATTGAAAATGTTAAGTAAACTATATAGCTGCTTATTTTCTTTTAATCACGGCACTTTGGGTCTTATGTTGGGGTCCGTACCAGTATACAATGTATTATGTAATATATTAGTCTTCAGTTCCTTGGTTAGCTTCTGTACTATACCATCATCTGGTAGATTTATTATAGCTGGGTGTGAAACACTTAAAATACTAGTTTGAGCCACGCAGCTCATTGCTAGAGTTTGTATTGTAGAATCGGATGTTAAGGTAATTGATTGAGTTTCAAATAAGGAAGAGGGCGGAGATGACTGACGAAGGCTAAAAACGTCGAGATTTGAATTACCCGTCGTCATATGATCGGTGTCTCTTGTTTCTGAACGTGAGCCCGAAATATTATACTTTTAATTTGTTCATCAGATAACAATTTATTTCTTATTATTGCTCGTCTCTGGCCTACAATACGTTGAGATGTAACATTTAAATGAGGATATCTTAATTGAAATTGGTCAAATAATTTCTTAACGTACATAATGCGATCGGTTTCTAATTTTGGAATGTAAAAGTAAGAGCGCATAATGAAAGTATTTATTTTTCATCCCATTTCATGCCAGCTTTGGTGGTCACAGTGTGAGTGGCTTTTGTCGCCCGTGAAACATTCGTGACCGGAGAGACTGCTTTACTATCGCACTTGTATTCATCAGACAATGTTAGTGCTGATGATGCGCTGGACCCACATTGTTCGGAAGACCCGGCAGAGGGCTGTCCAGGGAAACCCTCACCATCGGTGGTTTGCATGCTGAAACGCCCAGCACCGGTTCCAAACATGCCCCGACGATCGCCCTCGGGAAGCGATCCTTTACGAATACTTCTATTTCTCGACTCCATATTGATGGGTGTGCTAGAGCCCCGTTTGTAACCCGCAAATAACCTTTGTTGCGGGTGTCCGCTACTCACGTGAGTGTATGTTTTAAGCTTGGACGTGGGGTTAGACCAGTAAGTGGCCAATTATTATATTTATCGAAGGGTATCTATATAGTTTTCTCATCTGGTTGGGATCTATAAATATATAATTATAAATGAAAATGAAAAGATAAATGTACATAAATATCAATAAAATAAAATAAATACAAAAATACATAAATAAATAAAAGCCCAACCAGATGGAAGCCCTCGGCAGGGGAGACCAAACGGCCGAGGGTTAGGCGGAAAGGGAAAGAAACCGGCGGACGATGCGGGCAGTATCAAGGAGCACCGCCTTCTGCATTTGAGCCCGGAGCGGTCCGTCACGGAGTCCCAGTCGCCTCAGATGACCAGAGAGGCTAACTGGGATTAGCCCATTCGCAGAGACGACTACAGGAATAATTTCGGTCGGCAGACCACCCCACATGTCGGTCACCTCGTGAGCCAGGTCCAGATATTTAGATTGCTTATCTGTTTCGGCTTTCACGGGGTTCTCGTCATACGGGATGGTAATATCGACCAAAAAATATCCTTGACTGTGACCGGTCCATCAGCATAATATCAGGCTTATTCGCAAGAATAGTCCTGTCTGTGATGATGGTCCGGTCCCAGTACAGCCTGACGCGGTCATTTTCGAGCACGGCTTCCGGCATGTACTTGTAATAAGGCAATTTCCGCTCCAGGAGATCGTATTTCAGAGCGAGTTCCTGGTGTAGAATTCTGGCTACTAGATTGTGCCTGTGCAAGTACTCAGAGTTAGAAAGCGCCGAACAACCGGAGATGACATGCCTAAGCGACTCACCGGGATGGCGACAAGCTCGACAGACATCGACGGTGCCATCCTTTAGGATGTATCTCCGATAGTTGTTGGTCTTAATAACCTGATCCTGTATTGCACAGACAAAACCCTCGGTTTCACCGAAGAGGTCACCGAAACGTAGCCAGTTGAGGGAGGTGACTGTATCTACGAAGGGCTCATGAATGATGATGCCATGAGCCCTGTAGTACCTCCCGTGGAGCTCCTTCTCCTTCCATACGGTCTCCCGGTCGGAAATGCTAAGCACTGCTGGGTCATACAATTGCTCGTGGGCTAAGGATAGAGGGTAAGCCCTTTATCACTAGAAATGACGTCATAAGAGAATGGATCATCCGATCTCGCCAGAAAGTAATGACGGAGGCTGCACACTTCGTGATTATGCAAAGTGAGCGCGCTCAGAAAACCACGCCCACCATGCTTTCGCGGCAAGTACAGCCTCATTACCGACGACCTCGGATGATGCATCCTATGGGACGTCATGGTAGTGCGGACTTTTCTATCCACCTGAGTATGCCGAAGGTATATACTGATCTTTAGGAACCAAGTGAGTGATCCTGGTAGTGAAGAGGCTCGGGAGCGACTTCTGATCGAGAGCCTCTTGATACTGTCGGGCGAGCACAGCGTGACACACTACGAACCCCTTCAGCCAGTAATGATGCAGCCCGTCGAGCCCCGGACTTTTCCAGTCCGGGGCCCTACGGACCGCCTCAGCCACGTCTTCAGGCGTTATGGTGACGGGGTCCATAGGCGTAACACTTGCATTCTGACTCGCCACAACTTCCATCCAAGGGCCCTCGCTGTGGTTTACGGGCTCTGACCACAGGCCACGCCAAAATGCGACAGTGTCAGCCTGATCCGGTCCTGGGCCCGCTCCACACACCTCTGGTCGCTCCAATGATTTATAGAGCCTCTTCTGATCACTCTGGAAGAGCCGATTTTGGTTGAACCGCCTTGACCTCTCGCTAAATCGTCGAATCCGCTTCCCCAAGCAGCGATTTTTTGCTTCAGGTCATCTATGCGCTCTGTTAGTTTCTGCGTGATATCCGGCTGGGACAAACTAATATTTGTCCCAGCAAACGCCATTCTAACGGTGCGCACAACTCTCGGTCTAATATTACCCGACCCGAAGCTTGTCAGTCTACCGATAAGGGCCCTTGCCTTTGCGATACGGTCCTCAATTCTTTTTCTCCAGGCTGGGATGGCACTACCTTGTTGAGTAGCACGTCCAGCCACGGGAAGTTTGGCGCCAATAATACGGCATACTGCCAGTGCGGCGCCAAAAAGAATTGAGTCCGTCTCGCAAAGGTCCCGGCTGGCTTCCAAATAGGTCACCAGCATTGGGTTAAGAGCCCGCACGACAGCCCGATTTCGCTTGCTAAGGGGTATGCGGGGAAGTCGCGGTCGATTTTCGAGAGGCATGCTGCGCGTTTCCAGCATCGACTCTTCCAATATGCTCCTCATTTTCTCTAGTTCGTGGGGGACTATTCCATCATCGTCTGAATCAACCACAAATGGAATATTGACGGCAGCATCCACATTTGCAGTTTGCTGCGCAATTAGTGGCGCCGCATTCCCAGCCGTAGCATTTCCATCCGATGAGGGAACAGCCTCACGTCGTAGTCGTTCGAGTTCGGCGTCACCAAATATGTTGGAGCGCAGGATGTACCGAACTCGGTCTGCCAGGTTTAGCTCAGTGACGGATAGAGATGGCTCCAGCTCTGCAAAAAAGCGATGCATCCTAGGCCGATACGCCAAACATCCTGTTTCTTCCCCTTTTGCCCTAAAGTACGCCCGCAGTGGGTTTGCGTTCATTGTTTGTGACCAACGCATGCGACGTGCTCCACCAGCGGCGGGTGCCGCTTGCTGAGTCCGAGAAGACCCAGCCGACACCAAGCCTTCTGGTGGGGATGATGGATGCGGAGGGCTGCTAGGTGATCGTACAGCTCCTCGCGCTCGGCTGGCGGCCCGCATGCTGCCGCGTCCAGCGCCAGCTCCAGACGCGCCTCGGCGACCCCCAGGCAGCGGCCCTATGCGCGTTCCTCTTTGTACCATCATCCATTTATGAGCGCCAAATAACGGGAGACGCCCAAGCCCGGCATCGTTTCGTGATTCGGTCATATGCACAAACGGACCTTTGCACCCACAATTTTGCCTAGGCACGGCGCTCACACCTCTTGGCAGGGCGTTGACTGACTGCGCCGACGTAGTAGTTTTGTCACATAAGTGTTACGTCAGCGGGCGATGGGGTCGTCACTTCCCTACGCCTTTTTATTATTATTATTATGTGTGGGGTATCTATATAGTTTTCTCATCTGGTTGGGATGTATAAATATATAATTATAAACGAAAATGAAAGGATAAATATACATAAATATCAATAAAATAAAATAAATACAAAAATACATAAATAAATAAAAGCCCAACCAGATGGAAGCCCTCGGCAGGGAGACCAAACGGCCAAGGGTTAGGGAGAAAGGGAAAGAAACCGGCGGACGATGCGGGCAGTATCAAGGAGCACCGCCTTCTGCACTTGAGCCCGGAGCGGTCCGTCACGGAGTCCCAGTCGCCTCAGATGACCAGAGAGGCTAACTGGGATTAGCCCATTCGCAGAGACGACTACAGGAATAATTTCGGTCGGCAGACCACCCCACATGTCGGTCACCTCGTGAGCCAGGTCCAGATATTTTGATTGCTTATCTGTTTCGGCTTTCACGAGGTTCTCGTCATACGGGATGGTAATATCGACCAAAAATATCCTTGACTGTGCCGGGTCCATCAGCACAATATCAGGCTTATTCGCAAGAATAGTCCTGTCTGTGATGATGGCCCGGTC